TCCAGCCCCTTCAACAGCACCTCCCAAAGATCCTCCACCTCCTGATCCCTCTCATCCTTGAAAATCAGTCGGGCCTTCTTCCAGGCCTCCACCTCGGACTCCGAAAACAGCTCCGAAGGAGACGACATATCATCGGAACCATAGTCATCTTGAAGACCTGCCACAGTACCATGAACATCCGCCACCTCGTCTGCCAACTCATCCACGCGACGCATCAACTTGTGTATCAATTTTGAGAGTTGGTGGAGACCGGCGGAGACCTCCACACTGCTGATCACCTCACTCGCGGTGATGCCCTTGTTGAACGAACAGGTGGTTTTCTTGACCTTGCAGCAAGAGCAAGTCCGCCCTCGACCGGCGCCTTCGGTTACCAGTCATGCATAACACCGTGCGCCATCTTGACGACAACGCACACAACTCCCTGAAAACAAAAGCTAAGTTAAGCCATGGAAGAAAACGAAGACACTTACTTTCACCATCCAACAATTCTTCGCCCTCCGCCAGCCCTGCCACTTCCAACTTCGCCCGCTTTTTGGGGCTAACGATCACCTCTGTCTCACTGTCATCCACTATGCCCCTCGACCTGAACTTGCGTTTACGTCCCTTCTCCGCCGGAACCGCTGCCCTTCTCTTCCTCTCCCACACCCTCTTCCTCCTCTCCAGGGTCCCCTCAGATTCCTTGGACTCATCGTCCCCCTCAGTCCCCTCTGCCTGCTCATCATCAGACTCTGGAGGCATATGGTGAGTCACCTTCTTGAAGCGAAGACCAGGGCCAGGACCATACCGTTCCGCCAAAACTTGACACAGCTGAAAATCAGTGGCCTCCGTGGGGGTCATCAGCAACCCATCCTCCATAACCATCCCCTCTGGCTCTACCTCCTCAGCCTCAGCCCTCGCTGCCGCCTCCGCGGCCTCCCTCTCCTCAGCCACCCTCCGAGCCACCTCTCTCAATGCCTCCTCTGCCTCCTTAGCCCGCCTCTCCGTGGCTTGCCGAACCTCCTCCCTCTTCCTCTCCAATTCCTCCTTCTGCTCCTTTTTCCATGCCTCCCGAGCCACATGGTCTGCCCGGACCCTTTCCTCCCGCTCTTGCTCCCTTTGCCATTCCAAATGACTCTCCACGGCCTCCGTGTATTCTTCCTCTGTGGCCTCCCATTCTAGATGAAACAATTCCTTGGCCTCTTCAGGGCCATCGGGGGTGGATCCCCTCACCAGAGGCTCGGGAGTGCGTGAGTGACGATACGTGGCGAGCGATGACATAGGCAATGATGGTGGTTTCAGATCAAGATACAAAACTCCCATGGCCACCAACAATCCTCCATGTGGCCCCACCGGCCATCGGGATCAGCGCTCTTGAGGGCAAGAACGCTAAGGGGGGGATACTGTTATGCGCATGCCGCCGGCCTCTGTGTCACCTCAACCAACCATGAATTCTATCACGCTACCCACCGGACTCTGGCCGCTTCCCATTACCTACTAATTTCATTTCACCATTATCATTTCACATCTGTATTTCACACTGTAATATCTAGACCCTGAACTCGGTAGCGAATATTCACACTGGAACCCAATGGAACCTGACTTGGAATTAGCTACCATTAGTATATAAAGCCGTGTATATCACCGTAACTACTCAGTTCGAATATCAACTTGGATAAGCCATCTACACTTCATACTCACTCCTCCCTATCTCATCCGTCAGATTCCGCTCTGAAGGATACTCCTGTTCACTTCTCTGACAGAACGGAGTTCTGTCCATCCAGATCCTTGGGCTCCAACTCAAGGGTGACATTGCCAATAGCTTCGTCAATGCCCATGCACTCCACCGGACTCCGCGCGTGCACTCAAGCCCACTCGATTGGCACGTTCCTAACAGCATCGGTGCTTCCCATTTGCTGAACCTTGGTCGATATGGTGGCATCACCATCATCTGATAATGTAAGAAGCATTGATTGAAATTAAAAATAGCACACTCAGTTGCAGCATACTGTAAAATCTCCTCCTGCTCAACAGGATTGGCAGCAGTATACCTTCGCCCCAGGGACGATCACAGCCAGCGATCATCCTTCCATAATTTGGCTACCTGCTCTTGGTATAGCCGAATAAACTCCTCCTCCTGCGCCTCTCATTCCAGTCACTTCTTCTCCTGTTCTTGGCGCATGGTTATACTGACGATACTTCCCCACTCAAGGATGGGGTCCACTGCTCGGCCCCCTTGGTCCTCCTCCTCAGCCTCGTCGTCCCCTTCAGCCCCCTTGTCGGTGGTCCCCTTGAGGAGGGAACTGCTTTGCTGGCCAAAGGTTCCCAGGATGGGTAGGTCGGGGCTGAGTACTTGACTCAGTGTCATTGGATCTGGGTCGAAGAGTAGGCTCCCGGTTGGGCTGCTCCTCTTCTCCTTCTGCTGGCGGCACTACTGCTCTGCGATACCAGCAGAAGTTTCTGTAAAACCAGAGATGAAGGAAGAGGGCAGCGATTGGTCTGTCAAGGACCCTTTTGAGGTCTCTGGTGGGGTCAATATGCTCATTGTCACCCCCGATTGTTCTGAAGTCTGATGGTATCCTATCTCCCTGGATGGGGATATCGTCAGTTTTGGCGACGGTGTCTGTCCCATATGATAGTGGGTGGTTGTCGTCGAGGAATGGTGACTGCCAGTGATGGTAGTCATCGGCATTGATGACCTCAGCAATTGGTCTTGTCCAGGGGTTGGGGCTGCTGGCGGGAGTGGCAAGTTCCCAGAACAGAGAGTTGAGAGCATTGATGAACTCAGCAAGGGACTGAGGGGTCGGCCATATTGGGTTTGGTACCACTGGACCATGCCTTGGTAGGTGTGGGACTCCTCCTCGCTCCTGTTCCAGTCTACTGGCTGCTCTTGACGCTGCTTGCCAGTAGTGGACCTCATCTCTGTTGGTGTCATCAAAGAAGGGGTTGGGACTACTGACTCTTGTCCCCCTTCCACTGCTCCTTGTGGTACTTCTGGTGTCTGGAGCCATCTGAATGGCATCCAGGGAGTCTCTAGCCCAGCGCCTAATTCCAGACTGGGCGATGGTTGTTCTTGATGCAGTGATGCTGTGCTCAGAGGAGGGGATGGGGGTGTCAGGTCAGGTTCATTGAAACCCTGTAGCCCAAGGGTTTCCAGGGTCTCGGACGATTGCCAATAGAGGTCTTGGGGGATACTCATGTTGCCGCTGCTGCTCCTTCTCTTCCCTAGAATGCCTTTCAGTCGAGCACCCAGGCTCGTCTTCTGTTTCTTCGGGATGTCAGATGGAGTTTCGGACAGAGGCAGGGATGTCGTGAAGGGGGAGGTCTGGCATGACATTTCGAAGGATTGTATGAATGCATTGGAATTCTTGGTAGTGCTGAATGGCCCAGGTGGTAATAGATTGGCATCTATGGCAAAGCTGTATGATCACCAATAAACCAATCAAGGTTCCAATGATAGAAGCTAAGAGTTCGAAGAACTCATGAGTAAAGTTTGGATCAGACAGATTTAAGGCAGGGAGTATTCAGTTTCTCACCACAGTTGGGCCTGAGAAAGGAAAGCAAGAAGCTTCGAGCTAATTGTTAAGCCCAAACTCTATGTGACTATTAACATGTGATAAACAGTTCAGTACCTCGCACTTCAGGTATGTCTGACTGAGTTCACTGATGTGTTAACAGAGGTGTGTGACCAAGACATTTGCAAGTTGCTCAAGACAGGATAGTAGAGAATAAACTTTAGCTTGAAGCTGGGGTATTACAGTGAGAGCTATACTACTTATATACTGTTCTGTTATCATGCTATAAATAAATGTTCACAAAACGCTGCTGTCTGTTGTAGAGCTGTTACCCCTGCTGTTGCCAGGCTCTCCACAAAGGCTGTTGTCTGGTGGACTGTTGTTATTGCTGTTACTGCTGTTTAGTGACAAAAGGAGTATTGTCTCTCCCTTCACAGCACACAGCCATTCGATAAGACAATGACCAACTGGGTTGCTGACCAAGCTTTCCCATGGTCCTAAGCACCAGCCTAAGTGCCTTGACTAAGCAAAGATAGGGGTCATTTTCTGAGAGAAAGGAGAAGAAAAGAAGGAAAATAGAGAGAAAATAGGAAAAATCATAATAGTGTGGACCAGAGAATATCCTGTTGTTGATTAGTTGTGTTATTAACAGAAAACAGTGAATTTAGCACTATAATATTTAAAATACTGACATGGACACCTACTGAAGGGACCATGGAAGGTCCAGATCTTAGTGAGAGGGATATGACATGCTCTCTCCATGTTCAGACATGTAAAATTGCAAAAATTAAGAATATATAAACTGCATTTCAGTCCAGTAAGCATGTAACTGAGAATAAAATAAGAGCACATAAAAACCTAGCCATCATGAGGCTAAACTAAAGTAACAAGGAGCAGAGTGCATGGCCTAATAGCAGACAAATACCAGAGGGGTTAAACTGCATGTGAGGTTCTAGCACTTAGCTCTAAAGATGCCAATACCATTACAAGAGGGCATACTAAAAATAAAAAGAATATGATTGAAATGTGATCAGCAATCCTGATCATATTGATCAATGATGCACTGATGGAACATGCTTTAAAACAGAGAACTGAGACCCAAAGAAAGATATCTGAATAACTGAGTGTTGAACAGAGAAATAAAATAATGGCAATAAAGAAATAAATAGAGAAATACTACCTTCAGAGATGAATAGCATATGTACTGCTCAGAGACTTGCATACATACTTATAGTGCCTTAGTGTGCTTAACACAGTGAGAGACTTTGCATCATACTATGGTATAATACATACTATATTAGATAAGTTAATTAATGCATGTCAAGCCAGAAACAGTGCATTTTATAAGCCAGAGAGAATGTCAAGATACTAAAAAAGAGAACATAACTATTGTGGCTGACTCCAGACATGGAAGATAACTTCAGGGATCCAGAACAGTCTACTGCTGTCAGGGATATGTCACTAAGGAAATAAGAAAGTGAGCAAATCTGGCTAGGCCAGCTAGCTGAGATCAGCTAGCAAGGAAACATTGTACAGTCTTGGCCCAGAAGAGAATAAGCATAACAACTGCAATATGCATACAAATAATACCTATGAGATCTGGCATGAAGTCTTATGCTTTGAAGATACCATAGTAGGATTGTATTAGTAAGTATCATAGTAGAGTATTTAAATACTGTATTATATGAGTAGAAGAAGAAGTTTTCAACCCTCACAGTTGTAGTGTATTAGACATAGAAAGCCTTGCACTCTAGCTCTGGGTTTGGGTTTGTAACTTTGGGCAAGAGAATAAACATATTATTAAATATCCTTGAGAGGGCTGTGAGAACTAAATGAAGTATCAAAGCTTGCAAAGGATTTGAATCCAGTTTGATAAGAGATTTTGGATCACACTCTAATCTGAGAATAAGAGAGCAGTGTCTGAAGGGCATTATCTTGAGTTTTTGAGGTATTTGTGATGCATGGTGCTACAGGTAGCAAAGGTTCAAACCCTTTGGCTTGATTAGTGTGCACTTTTGTGTTATTTTTACAGATTGGCAGAAGTTCAAACCCTTTGGTCTGTCAAATAGTGTTTATTGTGTTTTGCATCTCTGGATCATATAGGTTTGAATCCTGTAGGTCTATGATCAGTTTGGAAACTTATGAACAGAGATCTGTGCTCTTTAGCACTTGTGGACATGTTTGTGATTGGTTTTTACTTAAAGCATAAGGCTTTGAGTTGTGTATTGTGTATATATGTGTTAGGGATTTTAAGTTGATCTGAGCTGTGCTTAAGACTTTTTGGAGAGTTTTGTGAGAGTGTTTTGATGTATTGTATTGAGCTGCAGTACCCTTTGCCTTGAGGCCTGGCAACACCTATTGCCACCTCTTGTTTTGATAAAATGAAAAGCTTTCAGACTTAAAGAGACCTCAGACTATTGTAAGCATGCTATTACTGTTCATGCACTATGATCTCATTGAAGAAGACAATTATATTTGTTGATTACTACTTTTATTGCATTATAATCCTCCCATAAACTAAGAGTTTTGTGTGTGTGTTGGTATGAGTGTGGTCAGTGGATAATGCTCTACTGTATCTGTTTTCACCTTGCATACACTCAGATTCTCTTTAATGTTGACTGGGATGTGGGTCTATGGTTCTATAGAAACCTCATTTGGATAAAGTGAGATAGCTTATATCTGCATATTTGACTTAGTTTGCTGATAAGTTTCACACCTCTTAATATATTTCTCAATATTCTGCTTCATTTTTGACCATCAGTATTCTCTTAATATAAGCTCTTTTATTTTTGCAATCTCTGAATGTCCTGCAGTGATGTGATTATAAGACATAGCAATAACCTTCTTTCAGACAGTATGGTCATAAGGAATATAGATTTGATTGTCATAGTAAATCAAATCTCCTGACTTAATTATACTCCACTTGTAATTAATGGAGAGAGTAATTCACTGATTCTATAATTCCATTCATTATATTACACTCTTAATTCACTCATAGACTTTCTCTTCTATTGGCATGATTATAGTACAGAAGTGTTCTGACTTTAAGAGTGTTACTCTGTTATTGTCCTTCTCTTTCTGGTTATGATTGGATCTATAACTCAATAGATTGGCTTTCTTGTTCACTGTCTCTGCCTTATAATATAGAGTGTATTGATATTGTATGAGCTCAGTAACCCAGTAGACTTGCCATTAGTTGAGTTTCTATAGTGATCAGTCTAGACTTTAAAGATGTGAATGGCTTTAATCAGATAATGTCTCTATTTGGCAAGTGCTAATATGATAGCTAAGAGTTTTTTGTCATAAATCTCATAATTATATTCAGTAGTAGTTAGTGCCTTTGAGAGAAATGCAATAGGTTGCCATTTCCCATCCTGTTTCTGCAAGAGCACTGCTCCTTTCACTTTCTCACTTGAGTTGGCTTTCACTCAGAATCTTCTCTTTGCTGTTAGTACTGTGAGTATCATATCTTCAGCTAATTGCCTCTTCAGGTTATCAAATGCAGATTGTTAGGCTATTTCTCAGATTCAGGAAGCATTTCCTATGAGTTGAGTCATGAGATAGATAACCTTGCTGTAATCTCAGATAAATCAGTGGTAAAAGTTTGTAAATCTAAGAAAAAACTGCAATTCCTTCTTTTTAGTTGGCTTCAGCTATTCTGTTACCTCTGCCACCTTGATAGAGTCCATCCAGATGCTCTCTTCACTGATAATCACTCTGAGATACTTGGTTTCAAGCACTTTGAACTTGCATTTTTTAGTTTTAAGGAACAACTTATACTTTCTCATTAGCTCTAGTATCTGACAAACTAAATATCAGTATTTATTCCAATCTTTCAATGTGATCAAGATATTATCTAACTAGATTGTGATCTTTTCTGTAGCAATAAGATTCTTGAAAATGTCATTTATCATTTATTAGAAGATTGCAGAAGAGTTAGTTAGCCTAAAGAATATGACTGTGGGCTCAAAGAGTCTGTAGTTCAAAATGCAGTCTTCCATTCATCTCTCTCTTTAATCTGCATATTGTTGTATCTCCACCAAACATCAAGTTTGGAGTAATACTAAGTGCCATGCAGCTTGTTCATCAATTCAGAAATCAATAAGAGAGAGTAGCAATTTTTGATTGTCATCTCATTGAGTTTTCAGTAGTCTTGGACTGATCAGAGTTTGTTATCCTTTTTTTTGATAAAAAAGAAAGATGATGTTATAGGAGATTTTGACAGCCTGATTCATTCACTGAACAAGTTCTCCTCTAAAAACTTGTCTAGTTTGACTTGTTTTAGCAAACTGAGATTATACATCTTACAATCAAGATTGGCACTAGTGTTAGAGATGAGTTTGATTGCATGATCTCAGAGCTTTAGTTCTGATAGTTTGTCAAAGCTTTCCTTAGTAAACAGATTGCAGAAGTCTTGTGCTCACTTAAATACTATTGTTAGATCCCAGTATCATATGAACAGAAACACATGATAAACAGAAGTCTCCTCGCACTTTGAAAGATCGACTGAGTTCACTATTGTGGAATCTGATCAATATGTCACAAGGCCTTTGGATTGGCTTGAGGATAGAATGGTATAAAAATAAACTTTAGCTTGAAGCTGAGATTCACCAGCAAGAGTGAGCCTCTTTAAATACTGTACAAGTCTGTGCTAATTATACTACTGCTTATTATAAGTCATCATGTCCATTGTGCCCTTTATCCTTGGGCATTATTACTATACATAAAAGGCTGATTGTGTATCATCAGGCAACACTATTGCATTAAAAGACAATGATCAACTTGACTTAGTGTGATGACCAAGCTTTGTCTCATGGCCTTA